TGATAAACACCACGTAGGCGAGGGAACTTATGCTAAATTTAAAGTGACACTTTCTTGGAAGGGTTAAGTGTCGGTGAATTTGATTTCTTCCATGGCTTTCATTCTCTCTATATTCTAAAGCACAGCAGTAAATTTCAGTGAGCTTTCGTTGCCATCTAAGGTCTTCCCCTGTTTATTTCAATAAAGGCATCCTGGACTCAACTGACACACCACAACTGATCTAAAATGTAAGGCAAACGTGACAATGGATGTTCATTTATGAGTCTTTAGTCCCCATTCAAGGTGGAGCTAGCATTGAAGGCTAAATAACAAAGGAAGCCCAGCTGATAAGATGATGAAAGCTGGTTCTGGGACCTTTGGGTCAGGATCACAGCTTAGATGTCCTTCAGATAGAGAGGTAGATGCTAACAGAGAATGAAATCATTTTTTAAACTTTATTTACTTATCTTTATTTTATGTGTATGAGTGTTATGTCAACATTGTATGTAAGTGGCACCCATGTTGTACAATGCCAGTGGAAGACAGAAGAGACTGTCAGATGCCCTGGAACTGGAATTATAGACAGTTATTAGCTGCCATGTGGGTTCTGGGATTCGAAGCCACGTCCTTTGAAAGAACAGTCAGTGCTCTTAACCACTGAGCCAGTTTTTATTTCTATATAATATTATTTTAAGCTACTCCTTGTTACCTTATCTCAGACTTACAATGGTTTGATTTTTTATTTTTTTGAGACAGGGTTTCTCTGTAACCCCAGTTGGCCTGGAACCCTTTATGTAAACCAGACTGGCCTCAGTCTCACAGAGATCTGCCTGCTTTTGCCTCCCAGTGCTGGGATTAAAGGTATGTCACACCACCACGCCAGGTTTGTTTGGAGAATTTTTTTCTTAAAAAGTGCTTTCCCATTCCATGTAAGCTGTAGAGTTTTAATTTCTACCTCTTAGTACATAGGTGATATGCCTTTGGATGCCATCAAATGATACCAATTCTTTATATATGGTTTATGACACTATAGGAAAATGATTTAAATTAACTTATATTTATGGGCAAAGAAATAATATAAGCAATGCAAAAGAAGTAAATGTAGGCTTTGCCAGTTAATCAAGTTTCTAGATCATAAAATATTGAAATAGAGCCAGGCATGGTGGTACATGCCTGTAGTCTCAGCACTTGGGAGGCAGAGGCAGGCAGATCTCTGTGAGTTCAAGGCCAGCCTGGTTTACATAGTGAGTTCCAGGGCAGCTGGGGCTACAGGGAGACCCTGTCTCAAAAAGACCAAAAAAAATATATTTTGAAATAGAAATTTTGGCATAGCTAAATTGGCAGTACGTATTCTACTTTCTTAGAGGTCTTTATCTGGAACTATTGAGATAGGTGTCAAAATTATTGCAAAGCCAAGCACAGGGGCACATACCTGCAATCCTAACACTTTAGAGGCTAAAGCACAAGATTATGATTTCAAGGCTAGCCTGGGCTACAGAGTGTGACGTTGTTTCAAAACAAAAATCTATGGCTAAAGAGAAATGATCTTAATTCAGAAAACAGTAGACAGCAAAAGGACAGGAGAGGGATTGAATAATTCATAATAAAAGGCATCGAGAATGGGGCGATCCTTACTAACATGACTTAGGTGGGACTCTTGCTAAATAACAGGTCAAGGTCAGCTATCAAGAGTGAGCAAGTGACTGGGTACTGAGAATAATAAGAAAGACTTTCTACAGGCAGCTTTGTGGAGTTTTGATGAAACTGATCTCTACAAGGATGATAGTGAAGTTTGAAGTCAAGGTTGGGTTGAGCTTGTTCTCAGGCACCTAACCGATGTTCTTACAGCAGAACAGTGACTGGCACACAGGGTTGGCATTGTCTCAAACAACAGACTACATGCACGATCATTCTCAGCATCCACAGAACCGAGCTCAGGGCTGATTTTATCATTTGAATTTCAGCTTTTTTATACAAGGATGATAGTGAAGTTTGAAGTCAAGGTTGGGTTGAGCTTGTTCTCAGGCACCTAACCGATGTTCTTACAGCAGAACAGTGACTGGCACACAGGGTTGGCATTGTCTCAAACAACAGACTACATGCACGATCATTCTCAGCATCCACAGAACCGAGCTCAGGGCTGATTTTATCATTTGAATTTCAGCTTTTTTAAAAAAATGTGCTCTGAAGGCAGTACATAGAGTGAGATTAAAACAGAAACGGCAAGGAAGAGGTTGGAGAGATGACCCATTTTGTAAGAGTTCCTGCTGTGCAAGCTGGAGGACATCAGTTCAAATCCCCAGAACTCACATGTACCAAGCTCTTGCCATTGTATTCAACATCGGATAATTCAGACCATTTAGAAAATTCCTAAATGAAAATTTTAAACCCCATATTTGTATCATAGTGAATAAAAATAATATAATCAAGGTGTTTGTAACACTTGACTACATTAACCATAATACCTTTTGATAAAGACACTTAAACCCATTTTTCCTTATATTTGGAGAAATGTGGGTCTGTGATATAAGAATTAACCTTCTCACTTGTCTACAAGCACCTAAATCTTTTTAGTATGTC